TTTGACCCCAATTTCTAAGTAACCCTCCATCTTTAACTTAAATCCCCATCGGGGAGAAAATTGAACCCCGTTTCCCCAATGGAAACGAGTTCTCGGACCTGAATCCTTGAATTATTTTTTTTCAATTTTAATTACAAATTTGCTATGAAAAAAGGATTTACTTAGAATGAAAGAAAGCAATTCATTATTCCAAACTTATTTAAAATTTAACTAATATATGTTTGAGTTGAAATGAATATAAATCTATTTAAGAATGTATAAACAAATAATACTTTAAAATATTTAACATATGTATGCATGCATTAGCAGGCCCCGTATGATGCATGAAATTTAACTTAAAACTTATTGTTCTATGGAACTACACAACCCAGGGGTAGGGATGGCAATTTTCTCCATCCCCGCCAAATACCTGGCCTCCCTAATCAGGCGGGGATGGGATGGAGATTGCCTTAACAGGGATAGGGTGGGGATGGAATTAATAGGAATACCTGATTGGGAACAGGGAGTGGAGTCCCCACCCTGCCCTAAACCCCAATTATGTATATTAAATATATATGTATATATTATATTAAATATATAATATTATTTGTGTTATATTATATATATAAATATTATTTGCATTTTAATTTTTCTTTTATTTTGAATAAATATCATTCTAAAAACAAACTTTTAATTAAAAAATTTAGGGATTCAGGTCCCCAATGGGGAAGCCCTCTCTATCGAGGACTAGGGATGTAGGCTAAAATTTTTTACAAGGATTAATTTAAAATTCAAGGCCGGAATGGGGAGTATGATCCTCGCCCCGATCCGCCCATTGCAATTCCTACCTTGGGGTCATCCCCTAAACCTATAACACCCCCAAACCCATAACTATAGTTCCATTAATTATGGTAATTATAGATGTAGTATCCAATACTTATGGAAATTATTAAAAATTTCCAATTATTTATTTGAAATTTTATAATTTAAGTTTCACTAAATTAACAAAATCACTAATCATTGCTAAAAAAATTATAGTAAATATCAAAATTACTAAAAATACAACAAATAAATTTTTATTTAATGAAATTAACTTTCCACTAAAAAATTGCTGAAAATTTTTAATTATTGTCTGATAATATCATTAAATATTAATAAATTGACCAAAATTACTAGAAATATCAATAACTACTAATTGCTAAAAATAAGTGATAATTTTTTATTATTAAATTTGTATTTATTATAATTATAATTAATTATTAATTTTTTAGTAATTATTTCTAAGATTAAATTACCAAAATCAGTAATTTCCAACAAGTAACTCTTAGTAATTAAAATTTTCAATTTACCAAAGTTACAAAAAATTCTAGTTTAGGTGTCAATATTTACTAAATAATATTCAATAATATCAATAATTATTGAAAATATAAAAAATATTTCACAAATTAATTTAACTACCCAAATTAATTTACCCACGTTTTTGGTTTTTATATGGTTTATAATGAGTCCAAATCTTCTACCCACAAGAAGTTTGCCCACGTCTACCCACATAACATTGCATGCACACATGGAGAACATCTCATCCTCCTACATAGTGTTATGCACGGGAAGATGCTCCCAATGCACATGGGTAGTGTGTTGTGGATAGACGTGGGAAGAGTTTTTGTGGGCAGGAGATACAGAGTCATTTATAATATAGATTAAGAGGAATTTTAGATGGGAGAGACTGTTTAGCAGAAATTTTACGAGGGGGTTGAGCCGATTGGTAACACGAGAGAGAGAGAGAGAGATGGAGTAGAACTCTAATGAAGGAGAGAGGTCTGCCATGTGGCGATATAGATTAAGATGTGTTTTAGGTAGAACTTTAGGTGGGAGAGATAGTTTAGGAGAAAATTTAGGAGGGGATTGGCCAAGTGATTGAGAACATGAGAGAGATTTGAAGCAGCACTCTAGTGTAGAAGAGAGGGCTGCCATGTGGCTACATGGAAGGGCTAGGAAGGGGAAAGGGACAAAGAGAGAGGTTTAAGGAGAGAAGAGAGAAGGGGAATGGGAAAAGGAGAGGGTTGCTGATGTGGGATTTAATCGCTTTATAATATATATATATATATATATATATTATATATAAAATAATATTTTAGATATATTCAAAATATTATATTCAGGGGACCACTGGGTATGACACACTAGGTGTGGGGAAAATTGTCATCCCCATAGTTTACCTAATCAACCTGGTCCAAGACCAAAAACATGACATGACCTACATAAAATAATAATTTGTAAATATAAACTAGGGTAAAAGACTTAAACCTCCCTTAAATTTTCTCCT